GAGGTGGGTGCCGCGGGGGAGGGGACGCCGAGGTCGGGGTTTCCGGCGCTGCGGGACGTGTCGGAGTGGGGCTGAGCACCGGGGCGGCACGGGTCTCTAGAGCTCGCCGAGGGGATCGGACGTGAGCGCGGCATTCACATCTGCGACGCAGCCTCCGACACCCGAACATCCTGCCCCTAAAAAGAGAAAAGAGCGGTGGTGGGTGCACTGGCACGCGGGAAGCTGGCGGCACCGGCACGCTTCGGCCCTATTAGGGAAACGAGGTAGTGTGCAGGGCTCCGAGTGTGCGCTCTCTAAGGCGCTCCCCGTCTTTCACCTTTCGAGCCGCTCCATAGTCTTAAAATGTTTTGAGGGGTCCTGTTTTAAACACTGCTCTTCAGAAGCATTCAGCCATATTCTTTTTCCCCCTGCAGCAGTGATAAAGTCAGATGCTTTGACTTTTTTTTTTTTTTTTTTTGGCCAAATCAAGTCTGTAAAGTGTTTCTTCATAAGAAATGGGAAATTTTCTTACATGCCCTTTTCCAGTATTATTTTGTAATACGAGCTAGCATAGTTTTCAGTATTTCTTTAAAATCAGGGGTCCTTAGTTAGCTGTGGTTATGTAGAGATCTGACTGTAATATAAAGTGGACGGGTTGGAAAGTAGATCTGTATGTGATCACGAGGTTATATAAATATACATTGTCATTGTCACACAGTGTTGTGAAGTGTTCTGTTTTGTTTTGGAATGCGAGTGAAATGCCAAGCAGTTTAGCCTTGTTGATCTAATGGTAGCTTTAGATCTTGAAAAATTGTCTGAATAGAAGTGTTCACTATTCACAATGTAAAGGAATGCTGCACACGACCATGTGAATTTCTGTATCTAAGCCAAGCTAGTGGACCTGGACTCTTGTTCCCGGTGCTACAGCGTAACGCTGCTCCAGGTTTTTAGAGTGCTGCCTCAGCAATGTTTTGAGGATGAAATTTACTTTCCTTCTGCTCAGGGGTTTTAGGTGGTTAGTATTTTAAATCTCTGTGTTGTAGTGGGTAAATCTAAAATTTAAGTTACAAAAGGCTTCAAAGTCTATCCATGTGCAGTTTGGAATCATTCTTACTTGTGTATGCTTCCCATTTGCTTTTCACGAATTCTCTGCTGATCTGAACTCCATTGTTGGAGTATTTGAATGGTGAAAAGAAATATTTTAAGAAACAATATTGGCTTAAAATGTGGCGTGTGTGTGTGTGTGTGTGTGTGTGTGTAGTATTAATATATGGCCATTATGGTGAAGTGGCTGTTAAAGGTAACGTCTAACATCCTTCATTGGGGGACTGTTGAGATGGTTCAGACACTTGCTGTGTAGCATGACCATCTGGGTTCAGTCCTCAGGACTCACAGGATGGAGAGAACCAGCTTCGCATAAGGTGTCCTCTGACCTCTGCCCTCTGTGACAAAAGTGCGCCTGCCCCTACAAAGAAATGTAGTAACCCCCAAACCTAAGCCCCTTCTTTCGTGAGGTACCTATTAAAGTATAAGCAGTGATAGTTTTTACATTAAGATGTGGGAAAGATATTTTCCCATGACCTATGTGGGATAATGACTAGATATTAACTGTTTTCTTTCTTTTTCTTCCTCTCTCTCTCTCTCTCTCTCTCTCTCTCTCTCTCTCTCTCTCTCTCTCTCTCTTTTTCTTTCTCCTGGGTTTTTGAGATAGGGTTTCTCTGTGTAGTCTTGGCTGTCATGGAACTCACTCTGTAGACCAGGCTAACCTTGAAATCACAGAGATCCACCTGCTGGGATTAAAGGTGTGCGCCATCACATGTAGCTAGATCTTAACTATTAACTTTAAATAATTAATTTTTTGGATAGAATTTTATTGAGAAAAATTAAAGCAAAAGATAGCTTTTCGGTGTTTTGGTGGACTGTAGAGTTTGAATTTAACTGAGTCTGGGTTCCGCTTTAACAAAAAAGTGGTAGCAAAGAAACACGATTTTAGATATATTTGTTTCATAGGTCCTGTTGCAAGTGTACAAGTACTTGTTTATAGTGCAGTGTTTATTTTTTTGTGCTCTTTATATAAATCTTAGTGAACGGATGACGAAGTGATTGTTGCTCGAAGTATATACTTTTTAAATGATTCTCTAAGTTGGCAGTACTAGTTCATTAACCCCTTGGTTATCCATAGCTCCTTGATTTAACAGAGTTAGTACCAGAAATTAGTTATAAAGACATTTAAGAAAAATAGATCTTGCTGGGCAGTGGTGATGCACACCTTTAATTCCAGCTCTCGGGAGGCAGAGGCAAGCGGATCTCTGAGATAGTGGCCAGGCTGGTCTACAGAGAGTTCTAGGACAGCCAAAGCTACACAGAGAAACCCTGTCTCAAAAGAAAAATAGATGCCAGTTCTGTATCTGTATTAAACACTGCTCCTGTATTTACATAGGGGTTTTAAAAATCCTTAGAATTGCTTTCTTGTTGTTTATCTGTTTTTGTTTGTTGTGTTTTGAGACAGTGTCCCTTTGTAGCTCTGGCTGGCCAACTACCATGTAGAACAAACAGGCTGCCCTCAGCCTCTTTACTCTGGGATTACAGGTGTGAGCCACTATGTCTAGTTAGAGCCTTTTACGTTGTGTGTGGGCCATCTATCACACCTGGCTAGATGATTTACCTAACAGAAAACATGCAGATAAAATAGACATGTATTCAAAACAACCTGAGACAACATTTAGTCACTGCTGAGTCTGAAGCATGGCTATTATTTTTCTTAACCATACAACAAATTAAAGGTGGATTAGTCCTAACCCACCTTTAAAGCAGATTCGAATAAGTAGTTTCTAGTCTGAGCACCTTGAGTACAGAGCTCAAGTGGTGTGTGCCCGCCATCTCCAAGGCTGCTGGTGGGGGCTCTTATGCAGAACATTTTAGGATTGAAATGAAAGAGTGTAGTTCAGACTGATCTGGAACCAGCTGTGATCTTCCTCCTGAGAGTTTGTTTTTTTTGAGACAGTGTTTTTGGACCTCACTCTGTAGACCAGGCTGGCCTTGAACTCCCCAGAGATCTGCCTCCCTGGGGGATTAAAGGAGTGTGCCATTGTCTAGTGAGACTCTGTCTGTGAAAAAAAAGTGGAAAGTGAAAATGGTGTACTGAAGGTGTCATGTACTTTCACACATTCCAGGAGGGGAGTATTTCCTTCTGTGTATGCGTAGTTTGGTTATGTGTCGTGTGTGTTGTGTGTGGTGCATGCCCATGCTGGGGCCAGAGCGGAATCTGGGTGTTTTCTATTGCTCTCTGCCTTACTGCCTTGGATTAGGATCTCTCACTGCACTGGAACACTTGCCTGTGGCTAAGCTGACTGGCCAGAGTGCTCTAGAGATCTACCGGTCTCTGTCCCCCAGTGCTGGGGTGACAGTCACAGTCAGCCATGCCTGGCCTCTTACATAGGGGCTGGGTATTTGAACTCAAGTCCTCGTGGGTGAGCAGCAAGCTGTCTTACCCATTGAGCCATCCTTTTAGTCCCGTACTTAGAGTTGTCATTATGATCGGCCCTGCTGAGAGTATTTGTAATAGTTTACTAAGATGGTGTTTGGGGGTGACCTATTGTACCCACCCCCCTCGCACGCGCTTCTAGTCAAGTCTTTTTGTACCCCCCAGCAGCTCTCTAACATGCTTCTTAGTATAATTTTCCATGTGACTAAATCTGCCAGATAAATGATAATCCCTCTGTACCTTCTTCCTGATTTAGTCCTGCTTGCTTCCTCTTGAAGGCACCTGCATAAAGCTGTCCACCCTGGGACTTGAACTCGTGACTTCCTGCAGGTCCTTTCTTTGCTGCTGTGTTCCTTTTTTCTGGATCCCTGCCTTTTAGTTTATCCTCCTATTTTCATTTTTGTCTTCTGGCAGCACTGTAAGGAATATGTGAAACTGTACTTTTTGGGTTTATTTTTACCCCCACACTTGGCTGCTTATCTGTTGAGAGGTTTTTTTCTCAAGCCACTTGCCCTGGGAAGTTTGAAGATGGCATTCTGTTATTGTCTGCCTTCTGATGTTGGTGTTCAGAGAAACTGATCTCTAAAACGTTGTCTGTTCTATTTCGAGGTATGGCAGCCCTTTCGTTGATTTTGAAAATTTCAGCTTTAAAGAAAAGTGTAAGCCCTTGTTTTTGTTCCTATATTGCAATCTTTTCTTTTTTTTTAAATGGGCTCAGCATCTCGATTATTTTTTCAAGGATGCTAATTATAGTTTCTTTGAAATATTCTGTTTCCTGCCTTGCTTTTGGTTCTACTAATCTTTTTTTCCTGTTTGTTTTGGTCCCATTTATTTGGAGGCTGCCCTCAAATTTGTATTATTTTTAGCGGTTCTTTCATATTTAAGAGAGAGTTACCAAGATTCATCGAAAGCTCCTGAGCATGTAGGGACAGGGCTTACTGACTGAGCTTATGTTTTTAATATGTTTTTTTCCCCCCTGGGTTAATCACTCTCTGCTTCTTCAGACTAAACTTTATTTGACTCTTTTGGGCCAGATGCTGCACAGAATGGCTTCCTCATCTAGACAAGGTAGCCTAGTGTGCGGAAGATAATTTCTTCACAGTTGTGTAAGCTGGAAGCCCGAGATTAGTGTTCTGACACCTTCAGTTCTAGAAGGGCCACTTTCTTGTCTGCAAATGCCTGTCTTCTCAACTGTGTGTATTCACATGGTCTCTCCCAGGTGCTTGCTTTGTGTGGGGCAGGGAGGGAGAGACTGGTTTCTTTTCTTCCTAGAAGGCCACCAGTTTTACTTGGTTTCAAGTCTCCCATTTGTGACTTCTTATTCTTCCCTCTAGAAAACCAGTCTCTAGATTCAGTCACGTTGATGGTCATGCCTTACAGAGATACATTGTGGTGACAACTAAGTATGTTTTTAGAGGAGATACTGAATTTTAGCGTTATTTTGATTTGTTCCTTCTTGTACACCGTGGGTCAAGTATTTAATTCTTTTTGAGTCTTTATACATATATGTGTTTAAACAGTGTAAGTGTGCTGTGTGTTGAACAGACCACTCTTAGGCTTGCTCTCTCCTCCCTTCCCTTGAACCTCTCTCCCCCTTCCGTTAGTCCCTTTCCCTCAGACAGTTTTATCTCTACTCTCACGGCATCTCTGCATTCATAGTTTTATGTGTAAAACCAGGAGCCACACGTATGCGCTGTTTTATTTGTCTTCTTGCGACTGGCTTCATTCACTTACTGTCTCCAGTTTTCATTGTCTTACAAATGATGTAAGTCTGTATGGCTGAGAGGCCATTCATACTGT